GATGCCCATCATGAAGTGGATGTCATCTGACCTACCAAGTCATAATGTTGGGTGTGTACAACATCACTCCATCATCAAGTGCAAGTGGTACACATGTGATCAGGACTGAGCAGGCTAAGAAGGCTAAAGTAAGTAGCATGAAGAAGTGGCCCCAATGCCTATGGTCTCCTCTCCTACTACACCACTTTCTATCCACCAGCAATGCACCTAAGGCCTCATGGGGGGTTCCTATCATTAGGTGGCAGAGGAAGAGAAAACTCAGGTCTCGTTTATAGAAGGTTCTGCATATTCAGGCACCACCCAAAAGTAGACAGCTGAAGCACTACAGCCCCTTTCTCGGACATCCCTGAAGGACAGTGGTGAAGGGAAATCCTCCCAGTGATCAGAACTGAGAGCAATGCACCTGGCTGTTCACTCTGCTTGGAAAGCGATATGGCCAGAATATGATTATATAATAATTCATGGGCTGTGGCTAATGGTTTAGACGGATGGTCAGGGACTTGGAAAGAACATGACTGGAAAATAGGTGACAAGAAAATTTGGAGAAAAGGTATATGAATAGACCTCTCTGAATGGGCAAAAAATGTGAAAATATTTGTGTCCCATGTGAATGTTCAGTAAAAGGTAACCTTAATAAAGGAAGATTTTAATAATCAATTGGACAGGAATACCCATTCTAGGGACACTAATCAGCCTCTTTCCCCAGTCATCTGTCATTGCCAGTATTCACAGTCTAGAAATTGAGGGGTTAAAAATGGGAGTGGCATTACTCACTATTACTGCTAGCAAACAAGGAAAGAATGTCCACTCTCATTATCCTTACTCAACATAGAATTGGAAGGCCTACCCAGCACAAAAAAAGAAAAAAAGAAAAAGAAAAAAAGCATATAGATTGGAAAGGAAGAAATAAAACTGTCCAATTTGCAAATGACATGATAGTCTACATAGAAAATCCCATGGAATCTCCCAAAACAACTCCTGGAACTAATACGTGAATTCAGCTAAGTCATAGCATATAATATAAACACAGAAAATTTTATTGTAGTTCTATAAACTATCAGTAAACATGTGGCAACTGAAATTAAAAACACCACACAATTGAGAATCACTCTAAAAAATTAAAACGTAAGTATAAATTTAGTAACAAGTGTGTAAAAATTACAAAATGCTGAAATTTTACAAAAATTACAAAGTGCTGATGAAGGAAACCAAAGATCTAAATAAATGAGAGACATACCATGTTCATGGATTAGAAGATTCAATATAGTAAAGATGTCAGTTCTCCCCACATTCATCTACAGGTTTAAATATAATTCTTATCAAAATCTAAGTAAACTGTTTTTGCAGATACAGACTATTTTACTCTAGAATTTATATGGAAAGGCAAAGAACCTAGAATAGCTAAACAATTTTGTAAAAGAAAAGGAAAGAATCACTCTACTCAATTTTAAGACTTACTATATAGTAATCAAGAGAGTGTGGTGTTGGAGAAGAGACAGACACAGATCCATGAAACGAAAAAGAGAGCCCTCCAACAAGCCCATCTAAATACGCTTTATTTATTTATTTTATTATTTTTAAAAATTATACTTCATAAATTTATTTTCATTTATTTAAATTTTTATTAAGTTTACTGGGGTGACATTGGTTAGTAAAATTATATAGGTTTCAAGTGTACATTTCTATAATACGTTATCCATATATTGCATTGTGTTCACCACCCAGTCAGTTCTCCTTCCATCACCATATGTTTGACCCCCTATACCCTCTTCACCCCTCCCGCCTTACCCTCTGGTAACCACTAAACTGTTGCCTGTGTCTATAAGTTGTTGTTTGTCTTGTTCATTTGTTGCTTTCAGTTTTATATACCACATGTGAGTAAAATCATATGGTTTTCAACTTTTTCTGACTTATTTCACTTAGCATGATAATCTCAAGATCCATGCATGTTGTCGCAAATGGTAATATTTCATCTTATGGCCTAGTAACATTCCATTGTATATATGTACCACATCTTTTTCATCCATCATCTATCAAAAAACAGTTTGGCTGTTTCCATGTCTTGGCCACCATGAATAATACTGCAAAGTAAGTGGTGCAACAGATATGTCAGCTATGGATAAGATGATGCTGGTTTATTTTTGATAAAGGTGAAGAAGTAATTCAAAGGCGGACAAAGCCTTTTTTGCAAAGCACGACTGGACAACAATAGGCAAAAAAATAAATAATAAATAAACCTTGACCTAAGTTTCACACCCTACATAAAAATTAACTCAAAGTGCATGATTATTTTAAATATAAAATCTAAAATTAAAAACACTTTTAAAAGAAAACATAGGAGAAAATCTTCATGAACTAGGGCTGGCAAAGTGTTCTCAGACATGTACGAAAAGCATAATCCATAAAAGAAAAAAACTGATAAATAGGACTGTTTCTTTTTTTAGATATAAAGTTTTATTCAGTTTGCCAATTTGTTCTAAAATATACTGTCCTATGCATTTGCCATTTTATTTTTAAATACAGAGGGTGCCAAAAAATTGTATACACATTTTAAGAAAAGAAAAAAACTATTAAAATTATGCTGATGGTAACCACTTTGAGCACCTCTTGCAATTGTAGAACTCAAATGTGACTAGTATTCATCTTTTGTTATCGGTATATATTTAGTACTACAATTTTAATACAGTTTTTTCCTTTTTTAAACTATGTATATATGTTTTTTGAAACCCTCTGTATTTCCAATTTGACTCCATTAATCATTACACACTCACGTGTACTAAGCCTTCTTATTCATATTGTACTGATAAAGAAAGTTTCAGTTATACAACTTGTTCATGGTAAATGAAGAACCTAAATGTGAATACAAATAATTCTACCTTTAGACCCTACCTATACTCTTTTAATGTCACCGTACTACCTCCAAAATCCAGAAAATCAATGTGAACTCTTATATACTGCTTGTGGAAGTGTAAATTGGAACAACAAATTTGAAGACCTAATTTTCACATTATCAAGTAAGGTTGAAGATGCTCAAAATAAACAGTTAGCAGGAAACCCAGCAAGTCTATTTAGATAGAAACTCACAGACATTCTTTGTGCTCTCTCCTAAATTCACCATTTTTCTGAGTGTACTGACCATTCCCAGCAGCATGAAAGCATGCAGTAAAACCTTCCAGAGGGTTGTCTACAGCTGTCTCCAATTCCTCTCTTCCCATTCTCTCAAGTTCTCCAATATGGTTTTCATTTTCAATTGTGCACTGGAACAGCTCTTTGTGAAGATCATGAATGACTGCCACACAGTCAATTCCAAAAGTGAATCTCAGTTCTTGTCTAACCTGACTCATCAGCATGACTAAATTAATTACTCCCATTTTCTTCACTTGATGTTCCAGATCTCTCTTGCTCCTGGTTCTCAGCCTATCTTACTGGAAATTCATTTTCAGCCTCCTTTTCTGGTTTCTCCTCATCTTCCTAACCCAAAGGTTGAGATACCCCAGGCCTCAATCTTCAGATTTCCTTTCTCTTCTGGCTACACTGTCATCCCTAGTGTTCTCAATTTATGATCATAGCTTTAAATATTATTTCTATGTTAATGATTCTCAAAACTATTATCTCTAACCCACTGTTTTCTCAAACTCCACACTCAATTTCTCCACCTTCATGTTTAAGGGGCATTTCATTTTAATATTTAATACATCTAAAACCTAACTCTCGCTTTCCATCACCACCAACACAACCTGCTTTTCCCACAGTTTTCTTTAATTAACAGCACCTATCTCAGAGCTATTTAGGCTAAGAACCTTCAAAGTTATCTTAGTTGCTTCTCTAACACCTCATGTCTAAGCCAACAACAAGTCATGTCATCTTTTCCTCCAAAACATAACCAAAATCTATCCATTCTTTGTCATCTCTTACCCTAATCCAAGACAACATTATCTCTCACATTTGTGAGGAGAAAGCAACACTCTTAGCCATTTTTCCATTTTTGTAGGTAAGGACTAGTTACATCATCCCTTTGATAGATCACTGGCTCTAAACGCTGGCAAAAAGTGAGGCAAATTGAGTTAAGAAACTGGTTGCTTTATCCTATATATGCTCTAGGCTTTCATGAAAAGAAATAAAACAAGGTAGTTAGGAGTGATTCCTGAGGTGTTGTGATCTTCCAGCCTTGCACAGCTTGGCAGCACAGCAGCTAGGGATTCAGAGACGTGGCCACAGCCGAGATGTTCTGGTAACATATTCAGCTGGGGCGTCTCCTACAAAGCATCTTGAAAACCAGATAGGTTCTATACTGAATCACATAAAAGAGACTTTTATCCTCTGGCATAGTTGGCATCTCAACACTTAGAAAACCCATAAGTTATTTTTTCAACCTCCAGAAAAGTAACTGTGAGACCATATACAAGTTACTTAGATAATGTGATCTTCAGCAAGTCCTTAGGCAGTTAGACTGAAATATATGATAATGAAGAAACCTTACTGATCCACAAGGGATACTTCTCTTAGGGGTAAAATTATTTTAGCTGATTAAAAAAACAATCTAGAACTCAAAATTCCAAAGAATGTCTAAGGCAGATTCCTTCTGAGGTGCCAGCATAGAGAGCCTCTCATTAAATATCCCTAGTGCCAATGCCATAAAGAACACAGCATTAAGTCAGATCTTTATCCTAAACCCAGTATGACATTCCAAGCAACAAAAATATGGTGAGGGCACTAGTCTTGACCCAAGAGACGTGTAGTGTTAGTTTTACCATTAAATATATGGCCTCGAATAAGAAAAGCATTAAGAATTCTTACAGCTGTAAAATTCCATGATTCTATGATTTATTTACTGAGTACAGGCTACATCTCAGATACTGAGAGATGGGTGCTGTGGCGGATACAAATACTTAAAAATAGATTAAGTACTACTCTTATTTTATAATTGAAATGAATGGCAGGCCACCTAAATATTCCTATACCTAATGAAAATATCCTGAAAAAGCAAATTAAGTATGTACCTTTCAGTGCTGTAGTCTTTTCTTTTTCATCTGGACCTCCCTGCTGGATTTGTGCCATGCTTATCCAAATTGGCAACAAAATTAAAGAGCTCAAGGAAATAGACATCAATCTTCAGAAGACAGTCTAGAATGAATGAAAGCAATAAATTAAGCGCTACTCAACCCTACCTACTCCATGAGAAGTTCCTTCATCCTCCCAGTCGGGATTAATCTCTCTATCCTGATTTCCCACTGCACTTTGTTAATGCCTGTACTACAGTACTTATCAGATCCTGCCTTGCATTATAGTTATTTATGTATTTGTCTGGGTCAGCTAACAGATTAGAAGCCCCAGGATAGAGCTATCAAGTTTTTTCATCTTTATCTCTCTCATGTCACTAAACAGAATACCTTACAGTACATACAGATACCTAATGTTTCTGAATTGAATTTAGCTAAACTTACTATTTAGGATTAGTTCTTTATCATCTAATTAAAAAAATATCTCTAGGTAGTTTGAAAAACTTTAAATTTCTATTAAAATAAACTGTAAACACACGCCATTTACATGGTTGGAATGTCTTCTCTTGGGTCATGTGGACAGTCAGAAAGAGAAAAATACATAAATACATAAAGTAGCTATAAATTACCGCCAATGTAATTGAAAATAGAACTTTAAGGGGGGAGAAGTAACCCTTTAAATATAAAACTATGCCACATTCAATGTCTGGAAGCCATACTTAAATGACACGCCAGTAAACAATAATATAAAATTATGATTTATTAAAATCTATTTCTGCACTTAAACTATAAATAGATGGGTTTTCCCAGGGTGCCCATGAACAGTGAGGGAAAAAACCCAAAAACAAAACACTATTCCTAAAGTTTAAAAGAAAAAAAATCAATATATACAATGGAAAAAAATGAAGCTAATTTAGTTAATCCATAACTGTTATAAGTTAAATAAAAACTGCATTCATGACCATAATAAATCAAGACTGAATATTCCCATGACGGAGGAACCCAAATGATTTGCTACCCACGAAGCAAACGTAAGTTTCCATTTAGAGGTACACCTTATAATTATGTCTAAAAACTGAGGCATTTTCACAGCCATCAGAGTATAACAAAAAATACTTTAAAAAAACAACATTGAAAATAATATTTTTAAACTATGAATGTTCGAAATGGTCCTAATCAAAGCTTTTCTTATCTCAATGCTGACTGTAGGTGGGGTGTGGTAAGAGAAAGGGCACTCTGGCCCTAACACCAACTAGCCATGTGTCCTTGACAAATTAACTTCTCTGTACCTCATTTCTACTTTTGCAAAATGGAAATGATAATCATGCTGTCCTCATAGTGTTATGGTAAGGTTAAATGTAAAACATTTAGTACAGTGCCTGATGCATAATTAAGTGCTCAACACGTCAAGTCTGACAATTAAGTTGGTGAATTTGTTGCAACGATGTTGCTAACCTTTTTTTTTTTATATCAGAGGGATTATTCATTATAGCTGGACAAACAGTTAACCAAATTTACTATTTGAAAGTGCTGTAAAGGCTGCGTGAAAAAGTTAGACGACCCAAACTTTTCACCAACAATCCATGGCTCTTGCATCACAACCATGAACCAGCTCACATGGCACTGTCTGTGAGGGAGCTTTTAGCCAGTAAACAAATAACTATTGGAACACCCTCCCTACTCACCTGATCTGGCCCCCAATGACTTCTTCCTTTACCCGAAGATAAAAGAAATACTGAAAGGAAAACATTTTTATGACATTCAGGACATCAAGGGTAATACGATGATGACTCTGACGGTCATTCCAAAAAAAGAGTTTCAAAATTGCTTTGAAGGGTGGACTAGGTGCTGGCATCAGTGCATAGCTTCCCAAGGGGAGTACTTTGAAGGTGACCATAGCGATATTCAGCAATGAGGTATGTCGCACTTTTTCTAGGATGAGTTCGCAAACTTAACTGTCTGACCTCATATGTGGGCTTATACCTTTTAATTGTTATAAATAGATCCCAGCTTCACCACTTAATAAATAGGTCTGGGCCAGGGACAAGTCACTTAATATCCAAAATCTTCAGATTCCTCATTTATAAAATGTAGCTCATATAATAGTGGTTGAGAATTAATATTACAGAAAGTTTGTATAACTGATCATTGTTATTGTTAGCAATATTATTTCTTCTCAACTGTGGAAGGTTCCATAATAGCAATACCTAGAATACAGACTATTTGACTGGCAAAGCCTTTCACTTAACATGGAAGTCGCTATTTTTCTTCTGTGAATAGGTAAATCAAAACTCTGTAGATACTATATAAATACAATGTTTCTATATTACTTCAAGAGACATATCCTAGTCTATAGGGCAGGCATTGTGCAAAATGCCAGGGCACAGTGGTGAGTCAAACAGACATGGTCATGGCCCGAGTGGGGGCTTCCTCTCGAGCAGTCGAATCAAACTGCCAAAGAGGCACACATAAAATATGTAAGACCAAGACTTATAATTACTACACTGTTATAGAAAAGAAATATTTGTAAGAGCTATCTATTTACATGCAGGACTTTGTCTTATCTGTGAAGTCCCACAAGTGTATGCACAAGTTTCACCCACAACTCCTTACTAAACACCATCTTGTAGCAGAAACTAAAGACAAATGTTATAATGAGAGACTCCACACAGTACTCTTTGCTAGCAAGACCACAACTAAATTGACTATCTACAGGGGACTTGCATTTTTTACTCTATCCTTCAGTATTTCTTCTAAACTGTTAGGTTATTTTTCATTGGGCCCTACATTGTCTGATTTCTAACAAAACAATTTATATGATTATTTCATTGTGACTTTTAATGAAGGTGAAATTATAAAATATTTTTAGCACTAGAGTTGTGTTTTAGATTCATATTTTAAAGTGCTGGGGATCTAATGTACACCATGATGATTATAGTTAATAATGTATTGTATACTTGAAAGTTGCTAATAGAGTAGATTTTAGAAGTTCTTAACACACACATGAGACTTATGTGAGTTGATGGATGTGTTAACTAACCTTATTGTGGTAATCATTTTGCAGTACATCAAATCAGAGCCTTGTACACCTTAAAGTTACATGATGCTATATGTTAATTATATCTCAGTAAGGCTTTTTAAAAGGCCTAAACACTCTACAATATTTAATAACAAATTCCCCTTTTAGACTTTGGTTTCCATAAGGACAGGTATCATACTTGTCCCTAGCACAACATCTGGCATATTTGGAGTTCAATGGATACTTGTCAAATTTATAAGTAAATGAGTAAAATAGAGGGGGGAGGGTAAGATTCACATTTTCAAGAACCATTTTCAAGATCCCCAAGATTAAATATCAAATTAATAATCATATTCTTATTCTATATGACAACCTAAAAATACATGTTGCAAGGTACTGAAATGATGATGTATAAGTTAGGAGACTACCAATTAGTCATTACTAATTACCATCTGAGATCCTCAACCTCATAGCAGCACATACAAAGCAGATAAGCATGAAGCAAAAACCATTTGTCTGTTGCTCTCTTATTCACTGTTAGATTTTTACCCTCTCGAGTTATTTTCCATGGCTGTGGCACAGCTGGTGAAACTAAATCAGGAACATTATAAATTCTCAATTTAGTTTTCCTAATAAGAATTCAGAGTTATAACCTGCATGACCACAGATAAACACTACTGAAAATGCAGCTAGCAAGCCATTTGATACACTTGATATATATATTAATATGTGCACTCGACATAGTTTATTTAGCATTATCTGATGGAGGTTAGGTTATAGGGAATAAAGTGGTAGAAGGTTTTTACTGATATGAATTGGGACACAGTTGACATGTTGTATACTTCATGATAACCATTGCTGTTTAAATATGGTTTCCTAGAAATGGTTACAGTATAAACTAGATTCAAAACATCTCAGTTTGTGATTTCATTCTGTGAACTACACAAAGCAATTATCATATCTTCTTCCCTTCTATGATTCCAACTGAGAAACCACTATGTATAAATAAAGCCGTAAATAACTTGTCATGTGTAATCTTTATCCAGTCAGCATTTCAAAACATGAAACAGTAGACTATTTCTTAGCTGCCCTGTTTGTTCAAAATATGGCTTGAGCACTTCTAAAACGTACAGAAAGATTCACAGAAGCGTTCGTTTTCTATGTCTGTTTTTACGCAGGTATTAAATGGGAACTGGATATATATGATTTTTGCAACAGAAGGCCTTTCCACTCCACATTCTAAATGCAATGATGAATCTACAAAATATATCACAAGACAAGTAAAACTGGGTTAATTTCCTGGACCCTTGGAACTGGTTTGGTCCTGAACAATCTATGTACACTAAGTCAGGCTCTGGAAAGCCACGTAACAATAGCCTACTTGCGATTCAAAGTACAGCACATGAATTGGTACCAGAGATTTGTGAGGAGCTAAAAGACCCACTCAAATTAGTTCAAATATCCAAGATACTCAGAGTTGCTCATCAGCAAAGGTTAGGTTATAATAATCCTGGACAGCTTATAGTTCTAAGGCTATGGTACAAAAACTGAATGTATTGGAGTGTGTGTGTGTGTGGTGTGTACACAGATACATGGACATTAGGGAAGAGGCTGGAGAACAAGGGCATCAGGCTACGGCAGACATGGAACATAAAACCCCAGGGCAAAATGGGCTCTTGATGCTTAGAAAATGGCAGCTTCTATAGAAAATGCAATCCATGTTTGGATCATCCTTTAGCTCAGACTGGAAATACCTGTTTCCAATCTATGCCAAACTAAAATAATTCCGTAGTTTCCCAAGCAATGTGATACAGTAAATTTGAAATAAAAAAATCCATGTTTTTTATCTCAATTCCACCACCTAGTCTCTGAATTACCTTGAGAAAGTCACAACTTCTCTAATCTAGAAAGGGAATAACAACGACAAAGAGCACGTCCCTCTTACAGGGTGATTATGACTATAACATGAAAGAATGTACATAAAAACATTTGGCAAACTATAAACTCCTTTATAAATATTTGTAATCTACATAAAGTCAAA